GGACGAAGAAGCGGAGAGAGTGAGATAAGAAGGGCTTTGAGGTGGAGAACAGATGATAGAGAGAGAAGTGAGGAGAAGAGATAATTAGTAGGATTAGGAAAGGTAGAACGGGCGAAGCGAAGGAGAGGGGAGCAGAAGGGAGAAAGGGAGGAAGGTTGATCAGACGGAGAGGAAGGGATAACGGAAGAATGAACGCGTAGTGAGAGAGGATAGAGGAAGGTTATGCGGGTGTTCAGTAATGGAGGACAGGGTTAATGACGGTAAGAGATAACGTGGACGAGGGACGGATGGAAAGATGCTGAGAGGGCAAGGAAATGGATGTCAGGAATGTTAGATAGGATGTGGAAAACGGAGATTGAAGCAGGCCGATGCGGAGGACAGGAGGAGCTGCGGATGGATGGAGAGACGGGGAACATTGGCGGATGGTGTCTAAGAGCGGATAAGGGTAACGTGTGCGGTGGTGGTAATCGGGGCGAAAGTGAGGGGCGGACGGCACGGGGAGGTCGACTGGATAGAGCTGGAGCGAGTGGGGGGAAGAGGCGGCGGACAGGGGTAGGCGGGGGCACAGTGAAGAGAGGGGAGCCCGGGGCGGTGAATGTAGGAGCAGGAGAAGTGTAGGTGAGTATGACAGGAGGAGGGAGGGCGAGCGGAGGCGGGGTGGTAGATGTGAGGGGGACCGAGGGGGTTGAGAGGGGGTGTTGGTGTACGATGTGGGGCAGTGGAGGAATGGCGCCAAGAAAGGAAAGGCGGAAAAAGAACAAGCGGGGGAGCGACAGCAGCGGGCGGGGGGAGACACGAGGGTAGGCGGCCACAGGGGAGCACGCAGGGCCATTGGGGCACTCCTATATTAAATCTGCCTCCATCTGACGCAGCGGGCGTTGGGGCACTCTTGCACTGGCTACTTGGAGAAACTTACAGAGCTATACCTTCTATTCTTGTTCGCAGCAATAGACTTATCATTATTATACTAACTTCTACTATCAAGAACCTCTGATAAGACATTTTTACTAGAGGAACGATTTAAATTAAGGATATCGGGGATAACACGTCGTTCGACGGCGGCGTCATCAGGCACGGGTTCATTGGCGGTTTAAGAAACACTGTTTCTCGCCGCATTAGGATTCTGTGATTGAAACA